ATAACTCTAAGGAATTTGTATCTCCTTTGATAGGTCGGGTCTTTTTTAATGCTGATTTGATTAATTTTCATTGACTTATTCATTTTCTGCACTTTATTGTTGTGCCAGGTTTCTTTTATTTTTCAATGCCAAATTAAAGCAGTGACAGGTTCAGTACAAAGGGTTTTAAGGGCCTGTTGCCAAGGGTTTAATTATATTTTTCTGGCAAATGTTCCCTGTTTGCTCTTTCAAAAAGTCAGACTTTATGGATATCAGCTCTGCAATTTCCCACAGCTGAGGAGAGATGCTCTGAGGGGATGCAAAAGGCTCCTTTTGGTAAGAAAAGTCATCTTTGAGACAAATTTGGACATATATTTGATTTAAGACAATCTCATCACCTTATTACCTGGAAATTGTATACAGTAGCAATTTGCATGTGATCCAGTGCCCTCTCTCAGATAATACTGATTATGTGAAGAAACTGCAGCAGTTTCTCATTACAATTAATAGATATGGGCTGCATAATCTGAGGTTAACATATACTGTATGACAATACAATGTTAGTTTTCTGTATCTATGCTGCATTCTGGTAGCTATCTAGATTTTTGCAGCCCAGATTTTGTAATGCACGATTTTAATGAATTTCTTAACAAATATAAAAATGAAACAAAAAGTGGAACCTGCAAATGTCATTTAACCAGTTCAAAGTAAGCTCTCTCTTTCTCTCAAACGCTAAATATTACAAACTATAAGACAGCATAGATACAAAAGAAATAAATACAGGGAAGAAGATTAAAAAGAAAGACATAAACAATGACATTTATCTAATTTTCTACAGTACAAGAATATTGGATCACACAGAATTATATTTATTTTTCCCTTGTTGCTATAGAACCAATTCAAAAGCTGAGAATTGACAAATTTTATTAAATTACCCTTTAGACTTTGGGAAACAAATATCCTTGTAGAAGTATATAATCATTTTTTCAGGGGAGCATTGTTCAAGTGCAATATAACCAAAGCTTCTGATACATAGAATAAATTTCAAAGTTCTGGATATAATTTACCAATATATATTAAACTATTTTATTTCATTCCAAACAACTGCTTCATCACAGTGTTAATGTCAAATCAGAAAGGAGCATGGCCAAATCCTGCATAATAAAGTGCCTTCAAATTTATTACATATCCAATATAAGAAGGATGGTGACTAACACTAAATCTACCTCCCTCCCCAATTTTTATTGAATTGATATATATTTGGTATTCATAAAAATTGGGACCATTGATTTCGTAAGAAAAGATGCTCCAATTCATAATTTTAAATTTCTCATAGGCTATCCAATTTTTTTTTAAATTTAGCTCAGATCTAATAGCCTTATTGTAATGCCGTACTGAGAGAAGAGTCAGAAGTGAAGAGGTGAATCATATAGTTTGTATTGAAGCTTGCTTTGTAAATGAAGGTGATGAAATTAAACTGAGAACAGTAAGAAACAAATGAAGAGTGGTGTGCTTGGAAAAAGATCCAAGGTTTGCAAAGATACAGAAAATTCTTTTAAAAACACCCGGACAAGTTAAAATCCACTCAACACAGCCCAGTTATTACCACTCATGCCTTTTACTTTAAAATATAGATTAAGTGTTGGAAAAGTAAAATGAAATATAGGAAGAATGAAATGACCTGTTGTCAGGATGGGCTGGCTTTTCACCTAAAAGGGGAGCATTCCATTTGGTTGAAGGAAAGATGGCAAGTCACTCCTGCATCTTCCATCTGTATGCCTCTATTCCTAAGCCCTTTCTCTATGTCAGTATTATTAGAATAAATCTCCCTGTCACAGGGCCCCCATCCATAGAAAATACCCCTTTTCAGTGAAGCTACCACCATTTGCAAGTTGTAGAATCTCTTCTGAATAAATGAAAAAAAAATTCGTTCTCATCCCTCTCTTTTAAGCACGCCGATGAATGCATTATTTAAACATATTGATTTGAATGTTTTCCAGAACTTTTATAAATAGAAACAGGATTTATTGTCACTGAATTAGAATGTGTGTTGATGGACAATGCCAGTTTAAATTTGTGAATCATGTCTCATACAAAATACTGAAAACTTTCTAAGTTCAGCAATACATTTTTTCAAGGGGAGACCAAGCAATACCAAAAGAACTGCTTAGTAAACTTTTTTTCCCTAGTAGGCTATTCTATCCTACAGCATTTAGTAATAGTAATAGTAGTAAAGTTGGAAGGGACCTTGGAGGTCATCTAGTCCAACCCCCTGCTCAGGCAGGAAACCCTACACCATTTCGGACAAATGGCTGTCCAGTCTCTTCTTAAAAACTTCTAGTGTTGGAGCATTTACTGCTTCTGAAGGCAGGCTGTTCCACTGATTAATTGTTCTCATTGTCAGGAAGTTTCTCCTTAGTTCTAGGTTGCTTCTCTCCTTGATTAGTTTCCACCCGTTGCTTCTTGTCCTGCCTTCAGGTGCTGCTATCATGTCCCCCCTTGTCCTTCTCTTCGTTAAACTAGACATACCCAATTCTAGCAACCATTCCTTATATGTTTTAGCCTCCAGTCCCCTAATCATCTTTGTAGCAGATGTTATTGCTGTTGTAGAGACCAATGTGAAATGATATATTTTTAAGTGCTAATAAAGGTGAATTGCTTTGGAAAAGCTATTGGATGGAACACTTTGTGCTGTTTCTAAATATTTACACATTTATCCAGCTCATGGTAAAAAAAAAAAAAAAACCAGGTTCTTTGGCACGGACTTATTAAGGCTGATTTTTTGTGCACTTATTGAAAATCAAATTCTAACCCATAGGCCTATAATTTCAGTGTTAAGAGTATAAATTTAAAATTGTCATAAGGATGAAAGCTAACCAATAAAATATAATGAGGTAATGTAAATACAGTGTTATTCATTGAAAATGTAGAAGGTTGGGGACATAATTTGCCAAACAAATCACAGTGATGGGTTTGCATAGAATCAACTCAGAAATGGGCCTGTCATGGAATCATGGATGTATTATTGCCATAATTAAGGCCAATGTTTATTTGGGTCATTCTGAATTTAAATTCCTAATCTTTGCAGTCTTAATCTTGCAAATTGACGATAAATGAGGTCAAATCATTAACATTAGCTGTCATGTACCAGAAAAGTGCTAGGACTAAACATATTTCTAAAGCAATTAAAAAAAAATTGTAGAAAAGGTAAATTAACACAATTAAAGGAATTCACATAATTTACACTATCAGGAAATTTGATTCTATCTAATATCATGTTGAGAAATATTTATTGAATGATAGTGGATGAGTGGTTATAGCTGTGTAAGGATCTTGATGATGGTAATGACTTGTCGAAGACTTTTGTAAACTTCTTAGGAAAGGCTGAGCAATCCATATCTGCAACTATATGCTGCTGCCTACCCATTTTGCACCATAACATTTGGCTGCAAAATAGCTGACTATTCCTAGTTTGTCCCCTTATTTTCAAGCAAACTTAAGTGCATTTCATCTCCATGCATTCAGTGGCATTACCACATCACTGGACATACACTCTTGCTTACCTTGAAAGCCAAAGCAATTTAAAAAGAGTCATTCTGATCTTGGCTAAAAAACATTGTCTGCACTTGATCTAGCCTAATATTCCCTAATCCAGCGCCCTTCATGCTGACCAAAGAAATTAAAAGAGTAAAGGCTCACACATCTTGAAGGACCCCTTACACCTTAATACTTTCCAAAATTCTGCCTTCCTATATATGTATATAAATAAATGAATGATGCCAGGAACTGACTATAAAGCAGCCTACGCCCTGCTACCACTATGGTTTTGGAAAATTACATTTGTTTGAACATGTATAGTATATGCAGAGTAGAATGTACATTGTATATATGAGCGCATGTCTTGTGTGTGTGAGAGAGAACTAATCTTCAGAACAACTAATTTAGAACACATTTCAGTCCTATGTATAAACACTAGTACAGTATATGTAAAAATCCTAAGCGTAATCAGACAGATGGATGATGCTGATACTTTGCAGGAAGTAAATCTCTGTTCTTGGCATGGAAAAGCTCTGAGGCTAAACAGCTGATGACATATGGAGAGGGCAAAAGTATGGTACATATTTGGGCCAGGAAGAAATGTAATAAAACTTTCAACTTAACTTTTTAAAGTACAGAATTTGCATAGCAGTTTTAAACGCAAGTTTTGTTTTTGTTTAAGGACCCACCTCAGCTAACCGCCCAAGAAAGCAGAACTCTTGAAACAGGCATTGTCTCAAAAGGAAACTTTTATTAGGGGGTTAGTGACAGTAGGGAAGCCAAAGCGAGATCTGGGGAAAATCCCGCTCAAACGGTATAGTTCAGGGGTAGGCAACCTCGGCTCTTTTATGACTCATGGACTTCAACTCCCAGAATTCATGAGTCAGCTATAGGAATTCTGGGAGTTGAAGTTCATGAGTCATAAAAGAACTGAGGTTGCCTACCCCTGGTATAGTTAAACTAGCAATATTCCTCCTCCCACCAGAGTCATTTGGTGTTCATTTGAAATCCAGCCAATTCACAGGTGGTACGTGCATCTCAAGGTCTTCTTTCCTTTCTCTGTCTCCCTGATAAGGGAGACACATTCCTTTCTCAAGTGGATAGAGGCAGGAGAAGAAAAGGAGAAAGTGAAAGTTATCCCAGCGAAAGTAAATATCCCCCTCCCCCCAGTAGAATGGCAGGTCCCAAAACAAAAGCACAAGAATATATATGCTGGATAGACAATAAGGATTTGGGGAACTGACACCTGAGGCTAAACAGCTGATGACATATGGAGAGGGCGAAAGTATGGTAAAGTTCAAGATATTTTTGTTGTTGGACAATGCTGCTGATCAGCAAGATTTTTGAACGAAAGGGGAAGCAGGCTGCCTGGACCAAGAGGAATGATTTGGCACTGTTGTTTATCGCTATTCTTTGGGCCTCTATGGCTATGGAGTAGACCTGACGGGGAAAATAACTTAACATCTGCTTCTTGTTTCTTCTAGGTGAAGAGTGAAGGCCCTAAACTCGTGCCCTTTTTCAAAGCCACCTGTGTCTACTTTGTCCTCTGGTTGCCAACCTCCAGCCCTTCCTGGTTCAGTGCCCTGATCAAGTGTTTGCCAATCTTCTGCTTATGGGTCTTCCTGCTGGCACATGGGATCAATTTCCTGACAGCCCATCACAATGCCTGTAGGATCTTTGCTGGTTTGATATTCTCTGCCCTGGGAGATGCTTTCCTCATCTGGCAAGAGCAGGGCTTCTTTATTCACGGTTAGTGGGTTTGCCTGCTTTGAAAGGGGACACAGAACCTTTGGGGAAAATGCCCAGTACTGTTTTGGTACAGGAACTGGAACTGGTCTGTTCCTGTGTGAAGCTTTAGTATATATAACTAGAGATGTGGGGAGCAGTACCAAGAGACGGGGACGAGAAAATGTCATGTTGCTACAGGGAAGGAAGATAATGCCTGCCCTAACTTCTTTACTTTCAGTCCAATTACCCTGATTTGAGTTGCAGAATGGGGAGAAAGTGGATTAAGCCATGTAGCTTATACAGGAATAGATCTATTGGATAGTGAAGGATCTCTCCCCTGAAATCTTTTCTGTTGTCTGTTCCTCTATTATTATTATTTTTGTCACAGAGTAAAATTCACTATAGCCTTTGTTATCCCTTGGTATCCTGAACTAATTTTTCTAAATCACTCCTGCCCAGGTGTTGAATTAATAAACCAAGAAACAAATGTATAAACACAATCGATGCCAGAGAACGGTAGTATTTTTAGTTTGTCATTCACGCAGCCCAATTACGCTTGAAGAAATGAAGGTGTGACTTTTTGTGACATCTTTTCTGGCAGGAGACATCAACTGTTTTTCTAAGAGTTACAGGTACAGTTTCCTGTAATATACGTTCACTAGTTTTGCCCTATCAATACATTTTGCAGATTTTTGTTGTAATCCAAGGTATCCTTTCAGTATCAGAATTAAGCCAGTCATTTCATCTCCAAATAGTGGGTTTTACCACTGTGCACAAGCAGGTCTGTAAGTGAGGACAGCTGGGTCTGTGTCAGGCTCTCCTTGGCTAGCCAGGCAGAACGGTTTTCCAAAGACCCAAACTCTCAAACTGGAAGATTTATTGTAGAAAAGATGTGAAGACCTTACAATACAATTCTGCCAGCTGCTGGTTTATCATACATAAGCTCTGTTTCTGATAAAATCAAGATTCAGATTCTTGTACCTCTTTTTCCTACTCACATGATGCAAAGGGCTAGAAGCCATTCTTCTTTGAGTGGGAGAGACAATCTCTATCTGTTTCTTGTTTTTTTTTTTTTTAAAAAAAAAAACAGAACAGAGCAAAACGTAATAAATATAAGGTGTTTTCTTTTGACTGTGTGAGAAAGGCTCTCTCAGTCTAAAATGGCAGGGCCATTTTTACATTCTTTTTGCTTACTGCAAAGTGGAAGGGGAAGCTGATGTTTTCTATTTCACATTTTTTTCGTCCACAGTGAGGCAGTCAGATATTTTCAAAAAAAAATATTGGACAACCATTTGTCCAGAATGGTATAGAGATGCCTGCAACGGGCAGGAGATTAGACTAAAAGGCTTTCAAGGTCCCTTTCAGCCCTATGATTCTATGATTTAGGGAGGCCATTTCTGGGTTGCGAACAATCCAATAGTTACTAAAAGGCAGCAAAGCACTACATTTTTTCTGTATCTCTTTATGCTCTCTAGGGGTTATCTGGATTTATTTTTTTTAAGCTAACATCTAATAACTCCAGAGAGCTTTTTAGCAAACATAAAGCTTGATCCCATGGTTAGCGAAGTTAATGCAACATGAGTCTCAGGTCTTGTTATTATCCTGTTATGGAATTCCCTATATAGACATACTTTTCAAAAATATGTTTCATACTTTTGCAAACATTGATGTTGCCAAACGTTTGCTGGTGTTTCCCAATTGTGGCAATGGCACTGTTTTTGTGAGGTAAATGGTGGCATTTGCAGAAATGAATTGGACCTAGCATACAAGATTTTTTCAGTTGTAATTTTTTGCTGAGCATTGTTCTAAAATTATTACTGTGGCATATGTGAAATACTTGGTTCTCTACTAATTTAGACCATTTCTTCTCCTTACCCAGGCTTGTTGATGTTCGGTATTACACACATACTGTATTCCTCAGCATTTGGAATTAAACCTTGGGACCTGAAAGTTGGCCTTGGGATTGGCTTGGTATCCAGTTTCTGTTACACCTTCCTGTATTCCTACCTCTCAGGCCCGTTTACCTATTTGGTAGCTGTCTACATTGCCTTAATTGGCTTCATGGGCTGGCGGGCTATGGCTGGTGTGCAGCTTTGCAACGACCTTTGGACTTGGACCAAGCTTTCTGCTTGCATCGGTTCCGTGCTTTTCATGGTGTCTGACCTGACTATTGCAGTCAACAAATTCTGCTTTCCTGTCCCCTACTCACGGGTCATCATCATGGCCACTTACTACGCGGCTCAAATGCTCATTGCACTTTCTGCAGTGGAGAGCAAGGATGAAGACGTTTTCAAAAAGAGAAAATAGAAACTGATGCCCGTGCATCCACCAGCTCTGTAGGGCAGGAGTCCTCTACCTTGGCAACTTTAAGACTTGTGGACTTCAACTCCCAGAATTCCTTAGGCAGCAAAGCTGGCTGAGGACTTCTGGGAGTTAAAGTCCACAAGTCTTAAAGTTGCTAAGATTGAGGACCCTTGCTGTAGGGGATGCTACAGCTGCACTCATCCTGGAGGATGCTTCAGAATCTGTGACTTCTTTGAAGCTTTTCTTTATAGTATTTGGATGATCTTGTCTAGTCCTGTTGATTGGAGTATGGAACTCCCTCTGGAGATTTAGATTGTTTTAGAGCACGGATGTCAAACTCAATCGCCTCACATGACGTAACATGATGTATCGCAACGTTTTTTGCCTTTGTGGAGCCAGGGTGGGCATGGCCTATGCATGATGCATCCGCCCCGCAGACCACCCGTTTGACACCCGTTTTAGAGTATTTACTTCCTGACTCTTGGAAACCTCTCTTAACACATTAGTATATTTGTATAATACAGAAACTGGTGCTGAACATTCCAGTGGGACAAAGCTCGTTTCAGGACAATATTACTATTAAATAGGGTAGGCAATACACTGGAATTTAAGAGCTTTTCCTTCAACACGGAATGTGCAAAATCACACAAAAAGGAGTCTCAGTGTTGCCTAAGCATACATTGCAATAGAATTGTGAATCATTATGAGTCTACACAAGAAATCTTTGGGACCTGAAAAATACCACAAGATGTAGGAGCACTCATGATAATCACTATGGGTATTGTAATATATGCTGTCCTTGGGAGAAGTCAGTTTAAATTCCAGATTCATGAAATCATTTATTTATAGGCCATGCATAGCCTTTTATTATTATTATTATTATTTTGGTGAATGTGAATTCTGCAGAGCATCTGTTTTTCTGCAGACTTTAAAAGCAACAACAAAATGCAATGAACTTCTCAGGCTGGTTGAAGTTGGAGACAGGAAAAAATGTGGGGGAAAAAAAGGGTTTTAACAATAAAACAAGTCATGCTGTGCAGTGAATCAGCTCTTCCAAGGGAAAATGTCCAACGTTATTAGTGCTGAAACACTAAGAAGGACACTTGGGCATTTTTAAGACACCAGCTGCTTTGTGGACATAATTGATTGGCCAGGAAAATCACCTTTTTGTACAAGATTCTCAGCCTCTTTTCCTCTCCACAATCACTGTCTTGAAAGAGACTGCATACACAAGATTCTGGTTATGATGCCATGAAGAATGACTGTGAAATGGATTTCTAAGGTACATTTGCAATTCATCCTTCACCTATGGACTATTTAAAGTGAAGCAATGGCTTCCAGGCATTTGCTCTCATCTTTCTGTACATGCACACATCAATGTTATCCCTTCACATCCAGCCAGAGCTGTAGACTTTGCAGGTGCCTTCATGCCTACAGCTGCAGCATGGATCATGCTGACAGGCACAGCCAATCACCAAAGTGCTGAGAAACTATCGCTTCACCATGCTCCAAAATCACTCATTTGCTCATTTTCCTCTCGCAACAATGTACTACTGCCGGCCAACCTGGGTGGGAAGTCCAGTGGTGTGCTGGCACTTTTCCTGGTTTTGTGGCATTCAGTGTACAAAATGGGTTCTGTTGACTCGCAGTGCAACAATCAGTGTGAAATCACTTGGGTCCATCCCCTTCTGGTTTGCTCAGTGGCGTTTTGGGGGGGGGGATCATTTCCCCTATGTATTTTTCTTACTACCTTTTTTCTCCACATTCTGTTATATATGATCATGTCAGTGTTTATTTCTTAACACTGTGGTTGCTTGATGCCATTCAGATTTGCTAGAACATACTCAGAATTCTTTGTCAGCATTAACAGCTGTAGACCATAGGAGTTGTAAGACACCAGGGGGGAAGAGCAATGTAGAATGTAGAGCAGGGGTTCCCAATCCCAGGCTGCTGCCCAGTATTGCGTGCCCACGTGCACAGCTTCATTTGCACAAGTGGCAGGCGTGTTCGCTTGTGGCTGAAGCTCCATTTGCTTGGCACCACCTCTGCTCTCTCCCTCTCCTGGCCACCACTGCCAGTCCACAAAGCTGGAAAAGTTCAGGACCGCTGATGTAGAGCATCTTATTAGATTCTCCCATCGTATTATTTCATGAGGATTCTCTTTCTGCTTGCAAAAGTAATTGTGTAGAAATATAGTCATGGGAGTTGTATTTTGTACATTCTATACAAAATGTTTATAGTGAAAATTGTTGGGAATTCTAAACATTTGACAACTGAAGGTTCTCATTCAACAATCACTTGTTCAAGAACTGTTTGAAGTTATGATGGTGCTGAATGAGTGGTGTATATATGTGTGTGTGTGTGTGTGTGTGTATATATATATATATATATATATATATATATATATATATATATATATATATATATATATATATATGAGAGAGAGGGGGGGGGGGTGTTGCTTAATAGTAACAAGTGCCAGAACTGCTGTCAGTAAGCAGCACAGTTGTGTGACCTTGCTCTTTACAACTGCATCACTTAGCGATGGGAATTCCAGTCCAAATTGCTGTTGTTAACCGAGAACTATCAGTGTTGAAAATATTTCAGCTTGTATCATCCATCCCCTTTTACACAGCTGTGTCCTATCAGCCAAAAGTAATCCTAGACAACCAGCCCATAGTCTCAATGATCCCATGTTTCTCAGAGATGCAATTCTACTCCAGATTTTAACCATGAAAATGGAAGATGCATTTTAAGACTTTCCCTAATTATTCCATCAATACATTACCATCAGTTCAGGAAACTGGGAAATTTTGCCGTGCTATAAATGGATGTTGTCTTTACTACTGTTTCATTATAGCAGCATATTTTGCAGACAGCTGCTAGAATACCATAGGTTTCATTTGTGGAAGCAATTATTCAAGGAATAATTCAAAGTCAAACCATTCTGAAATCATTTTGTTCCTTTATCCCTTATTCCAAGAAGAGGGAACAACAAATAAAACATACAGCTTAGACTTTAAGTAAGACTTGAATGACCACCGAGTGATTTTCAATGGGCATTGCTTGCTGATATCTCTCTGATGAAGACCCTCTCTGATTTTATATTGGGGTAGAAATCTGGCCAGATTTTAAATCAACCTAGCAATAAGGGACATGATGACATCCAAATTTTCCAACTGCTTCTTTTAAAGCACAGACCTCATGCTGCAGAGCTGTTCAATGAACCAGCCTCAGGGGACCAAGGCTGCTTATCGTATTTGTATTTCATAACTGATTTGGTTTTTTTTTCCTTAAAAGAGTTAACTGATCATATGACATTTTTTATGTATCTGTTCAGTTTGGCTGATTATGATCTCTTCTGAATTAGGATGCTTGACCTGAGACTGCTTAGGCAGCTGCTCATAAAGAGAACTGATTCATACGTGACTTAGCCTTTGAATCTCTTTGATACAACTTAGGTACACTCTTGTTAATGTGAAAAAGAAGAGGAGGAGGAAGAAGAAGAGGAGAAGAAGGAGAGATGTGAGTGAATATGGACATATATGAGCCAAACATGGATATACATTTTCTGGTGGAAGCATTTTACATTGGGTTCTTTAGGTGATCTTTTTGTAATATGTCCTTCCAAAATTGAATAATAGGCATTCTAGAGTCTTTCAGTGTATTATGAAATTGTCTTCTCCATCTGTTCTTTAGTCTCATCGACTATCTTAAGTCTAGTACTGTGTTTAGATTAAGTTGTTGGTCTATTTGTTTTGACCTATAGAATTCCAGAATTTTAAGAGAAACTAATGGGTGTAACAGTAAATACATTCCTGCGTTAGTAGGGACCTAACATCTCATTTGCCACTGAAGCCTTCACAAATGGCTAACTGGTTTCAATATTTACATTCCCCACAAATGATAATGATGATGATGAAGATGTAAATAAAAGAACTATTGTGGCAAAAGACAGCAAAGATAATTCCAATAGTGATGGCTGCCTTGGGTGTAATCCCAAATAATCTGGAGCACCATCAGTTAATTGCAAAATACAATTTCACTTGAAATAGCTTACATCCTGTGACAATACCTTTAATATTATTAAACAATAATATTTATATATCGCAAGTTTTGGGGAAGGACTCAATAGGAAGACAAAAATGCCATATCCAGTCTAAATAACCAAATGACTTGTGACCAACCATAATAATAGTAATCATCTCTTTTGGGGATAGTCTTTTATATTGTCAAACACCCCATGCTATCAGAATGTCCTTCCTAATACTGAATTAAAGTCATCTTCCCCTGTAATTTAAGCATAGTAATTTCACCCCTGAACATCAGAGAACATGTTTGCTGCATCAGCCCTGTGACAATCCTTTGAATGTTTAAAGATAGCTATCATATTCACTCTTCAACCTCTCTTTGCCAGGTTTGGCTGCCAGCCCTTAACTATCTTTGTCATCCTTCTCTGGACATGATCCAGTTTGTTGATTGCAATCATACAACCAAAACTTAATTAGTAGTGTTCAAGGCAAGTATTGGTTTCAGAACTGCATTGAAGTTGCAGAGTAGAAAGAAGCCACTTTTGTTTTAAAAAAGGTTAAATATTTAGATTTGTTTCAAACCAGAGTGAGTTCAAATTTCTCAGTTTAATCTCACACAATTGAGAACTTTTCAGATCATCTACCAATGTAGTAAATGACAAAAACGTTTTTGGTTGTCCCTAGCTTACTTACCCAGATGTTAATACAGAGCTTGTCGCACATTTTAAATACTTTATAGTTTACCAGCAATACTTCCCAAGACTTCTACATATCCTATAAAATATGGTATGCGTGTATAAATATGAGTTAGGGGATTTTTTTTTAACATTGGGCATGTTGGCTTAACATATTCTCTAAAATTTTTCTGCTGTTCTTCAAAGGTTCATCAGAAAGGAATTGTTGGTTCAAAATGGAAATTATAGGTAGCATAATACATAAAATTCAACTGTGACATCAAAAAGTTGTTCTTGGGATAATCTGTCAGAAATCTGAACAAGTATAAAATATGTAATTCTATTAAATTTTTAAAAGAAACTCCACATTTTTATATATTTAAAAATTGTTAAATATATTTAACAAGCAGTGAAGTAATAGTGTTGGGTTGAGAAAAAAAAGATTACTGTTATTTTTTCATACAACTTTTAAATTTTACTATCAGTTTGGTTGTTTTCTAATAACAGCTATGATAACTCGGCTGAAAAAAATCTGTATGTCCACAAGAGGTTAATCAAACTCCGGATTTTTAAAGTCCAGTACAGTCCAGGATCCCCTTAACTCACAAGAAAAAGTTGTGAAGGATGCTGTTTCCTAGAAATTGGGAAATTAGGGCAGGCTGATGGGCTTAAACGAAAGGCCTGATTTGAATGACAGAGCTAACAACATGGATAATCTTTAATGTTGTTGGATAACATAGTCAACATTTCATTCCTGATAGAAATTGTGACTCATCTGGATGAAAGAGAAATAAGAGGATTTAGCAAACTGATGTCTCAACTCATCCACTCTCAGAATGTACTCTGTTCTGTGCTCTGATCATCACAGAAATCCTGTACATCTGAAGTTTCTCTAAATTATCCCAATTCTGCAAAATATGTTTAACATAAATAATCCTATTTTTTTGGTGGTGTTTCTTCTGGGGATGAAAATCTGAAGGAATGGAATGGGGGATATGAAATGTTCTTTCACATTTTTTAACTCATATTTTCTATGCTCTAGGACTCAGAAAGCAGGTGATGGTTATACAGGTAGTCCTCAACTTATGACCACAATGGAGCCCAAAATTTATGTTGCTAAGTAAGACATTTGTTAAGTGAGTTTTGTCCCATTTTATGACCTTAAATGAATCATTCCAGTTGTTAATTTAGTAACATGATTGTTAAGTGAATCTGGCTTCCCCATTGACTTTGCTTGTCAGAAGTTCACCAAAAGTGATCACATGACCATCATAAATATGAACCAGTTGCCAAGCATCCAAATTTTGATCACATGACCATGGATATGCTACAACGATCATAAGTCACTTTTTTCAGTGCAGTTGTAACTTTGAACGATTAGTAAATGAATTGTAAGTCAAGAACTACCTGTATAGTTCCTGAGTTCCTTTCTACAAGTGATTGGAAAGATGCTTCCCTTCTTAGAATATATGCACATGTCTGAGAAAGAAAGTGACTGAATGGGAGAAAAAAGAGTCATTAATCTAAAATATAGGGAAAATTCTCTGCATTCATACAAATGTCTTTCATTTTGCTACTGAATTAACTAATTTTCTGGGCTCCGTTACATTAAAGGATAAAGAAGGTGGGTTCCCACAACATAATAAGCCACAAAAAGCCTGACTAAAGTTCATATCAAGGTTAGCATTTTATGCAAAAGAACTATGAATTCTTTGGCACATCTTGTTAAGTATCTTCTGTGGACACCACCTTTTGTAAGGTCAGCATCCTTCTTCCTTATCCCTCATTAGATTATTATAACTAACTAAAAGTGTGAATTGCTCAGTGAGAAATAGACTTGCTTCTGGATACATGAAGATCTAAAAGGGGATCTTTTAAAATATTGAAAGATTAAGAAAAGTGAATAAAATCAATGCGAGGAGCATATCTGATGGTAGATAAATCATGTAGATAGAATGTTTAAAAGATTTTCTTTGGGGAAAAAAAAACCCATTATTTTTTCTGAGCCAAAAGAAAAAAAAACCCGAACGAACACATTTTAAGATGACTACGATAAACCCCAAGGAGAAAGAGAAAAACCTGGAGTTTTGAATGTTAGATATACGATTCCATGACATTATCTTTTAGTCTGGAATGTTTGTTCATTCCCTTCTTGCAGGTATCTCTGGAACACTTCAGATTTGCTTGTGGAAATTGCAGTACATGTCATTGGATCCAATTCCTTGAAAGAGGCTGGATCATTGCAAAGGAGAAGGCAGCAATGTTGATAGGTTGTAGTGGCATTTTCAGCATAGATGAAAATAATCCTTGTCAAATTGGGGGAAAGATTCTTGGCTTTAATAAAGGGTTCCTGGACTGCAGTTGTATGGATCCTAAAGGCCCATGGGATACTTTACATTATTTCCTTCCTAAGGACCTGAACTGAGAAAGGAAGTTCTCGCATCTCCTCCCTATCCTGTCGAAGCCTTTCTCCTGTCCCTTCCTCCAGCCTTCTTTGGGGCATCAGAGCTCAGAGATTGCAGAGGAAACATTGAGACAGATCAGGTTGCTTGTAGGAGCAGATTAGTGGACACATCCCATTCAGGGGGACCATACCCGTTCCATCTTGCAACATGCCTCAACCCAGAGTAATAAGTAGATTAGCTCTGGAAGTCATCAAAATGTTTTTCTTCCTTTTTTTGCATTCTTTTCAAAGGGAAGACATTCTTCATCTCTTTTTGCAAACGTGTTCTCCTTGGATGAGACCATTAAGGTGCAGGGACTATCAGAGCCTCTAATGTCAGAGACTTTCAAACTCTACCACACTTCCAGAGTTGTTGTTATTGTTTTATTTAGAGGAGCCGGTTTTCCTGCAATAACATCTTTGCCTTTCTGAATTACAATGCTTGCCTACCTACCTCACAGGGGTATTATAAGAAATATGTGTGATTATTCTTCAAAATGGAAATCATGTATGTAAGCACATGCATATTCATATATACAGCATTCAATTCATGTTCTGGAGTTTGCATAAGTGTTTTAAAGAATGCCATGCTGTTTTCAAGCAACATTTTAGAAAAAAATGTGAATACAATGGCCAAGATTTTAAAGTCCTGTTTATCTGTACTGAAGAGGTGAACAAAACTGAAATTAACAGAGTGAAGGGAAGAAAGACATTGGGGTTTTAATTTGGGATCATTAATTTCATTGTTTGCAAATGTTGCTACATAGTTCTTATAAGTACCTTATGCTGTAAAAATGACATTTTGCTTTGCAAGATTTTATTATTGTCAAACTTTGCATAAAGTGTGTGTGTGTGTGCGTGTGTGTATGTATGTATACACACACACACAATAATAGCCATCCTGTGCTTCATTAAAACTCGGTCTCCCCATATTGTTGCAGTCAGAAACACTCTCAGTTTGGCTTATTCATGCAGGGATAACAGAGAGTAGGTGGGATAGGGTACAGTAGAATATAAAATTAGAATAGAATAGAATAGAATCACAATCTTGCTAAATCTCTTTATAAATCAAATTAACTTTTAACTGAATTGCCCAGTTCTCTCTACATTGTCATCACAGTGAAAGAAAACAGTTAGGTGAAGGCCTTTATCAGCTTTGCATAAGGCATCTTTTGACTGTATTAAGAATGGCAATACTGCCATTCCCAAGGCAGATGAAAAACAAATCATATTTTTGTGCCAGTCTTCTCAGAAGATACAATTGAGGACAACAGTAGTACTACTTAAGACTTGGCTTTCAAAGGAGCTGTAAAATATTTTCAATAAATATGATGTACAGTGAAGTATGAGCTGTTGGAAATCTTATATAGCAATAGACCTATTGGCAAAGGTATATGCAATACCTTTCAATCCCATTTCTGTGATTTGTGGATCTCTTTTTAAAAGATAAATTTGCCAGCATGTGCTTTTTCTGTTCACGTCTTATGCTTTTAGGTGTACATTTAGAACATTTTTGATGTGCCTCATGGAAAAGCAGAAGCAGTGACGTATTAATCAAAGACATATATTACAGCATGTGCTATTATAGACAGGCTCACTTTCTCAAATATGAAGATTTTCATTTGAGAAAATGGATATTCTCAAATAGAATTGATCTGATGAAATGACTGTCAAAAGGCCTTCATGCCTTTAACACTTACAGCTGCTTCTCTGAGTTGGGTCCAGAGATAACACATGCAGGACTCAGAACAATTCACCAGCCAACAATTAGTGGCCAAAGACCAGAATAATCTGGTTTTTCTATTTCCATGTATTTTAACATGTTATGTATTAGCAGCTGCAACAAACCTAGAATTTCCAATGACACTTCCATCTACATTGTCCAATATGTTTTTGGGAAGATTATAAATTAGGAGCTGGTTTATACTCTGGTACATTGTAGAAAAAACTAGGCACTGTTGAATTTAACTCCTCAAATCAAGTTCTGAGAAGAGACAGTGATTTGTATTCCTCTACTGTAAAACATTTTGAGATGAATTATGCTTATGTTAGTAATTTGTCAGTTGTTGGCAAACCCCTATTCCATCCCATTCAATTCCCTGTGGTTAAAAAAAAAAAAAAGAATAAGAGTGATTTGGGAAAATTGACAATGCTGAAAAAGGTGAAGCTTTTCCCTTACTGTATACCATAGCTAACGCTGCAGCTATCAGAATGGCGTTATTAACTATGATCATGAAAAAAGGGAACAGATATGAGGGTCTTCCTAACAATCTCTCCTTTTCCTGCTGGTTTGAGGCATGAGATGTTTAGTTTTTTTTAAAAAAATAATGACACTCTTGAATTTGAATTTAAAGATGCTTATGAACACAGTAGTGGACTAGATATGCAAGGAGTTTGTGTGTTAGACCAGGGGTCCCCAACCCCCAGTCCGTGGACCAGTACCGGTCCGTGGCATGCCAGCAACCAGTCTGCACAAACAAGCAAAGCCCCATCTGCGGGATGCAGGCAGCACACAAAACCTTGCCCCCTCTGGTCCATGGAAAAATCTCTCTCCATGTAACCGTTCCCTGGGCCCCAGAAGGCTGGAGACTTCTGTGTTAGACTGATGAAGTGATGATTGATGGTACACAAGAAAGCATGAAGAGTAAGAGCATTCAAAGTTTTGGGGAATTCTGTTTGGAAATAGCATGCAGAACCCTCAGTAATGCCTTTTTCTTTTAGATGTTTCAATGGTTTGAGAATAGAGAGGGAATTCTGTTAGTATACAAAAGCAGTCCTGGAATAAAATGAAATAATGAGGGAGAACTTAGTAAATAATTAGAGATTTGCATAAATAAGTTCATACCATTTTTTCCCTTGTGTATTTGTTAGAGGTCTATTTATGGCATTTAATAGTCGGCAACTCTACAAATTGAATGATGGCTTCTAGTTAATATTATGTGATATGAATCAGACTGAGATAATGTCTAATGCATTACGAATTATTCTTTTACTCACTAATCAACAATGATTTCACCACTATACAAAACCAAGATAAATCCTGTTAGATTCCTAGTAATGCTTTCTTTAAAAATCCATGGAAATGGATCTGTGGATAATAATTGCAAAGATACTTGTGTTAGGATAAACTCAGTAGCAAATACAATGCAATTTTTTTTCTTTTGTGCTTAGTGTAATTTCTTTAAATTTACAGTATCAAGAATGTTCGGTTGTGTGCACGTCTGTGTATGTACAATGTATATGTGTGTGTATATATGTGTATATACAAATTTTTCAATATATAATATTGTATATAACATATAAATAAAGTGAAAATCTAGGCAAAAGAACCACATGTGTGGTGCATTATTTGGTAATTCTTGCTAAAACAGAAAGCAGGGGAAGTCTACCTTTCATATAGACATACATTTTATGAGGAAGTGTTGAAAGCTAACTATACTTATCCTGATAAGGATTAGATTAAGGAATGACAGCATAATTTATTAGGCTGCTAGGCAGAAAATGTATGTAGAGTATATTCTGTTGCTTCAGAGAGGTGTAGTAGAATGAATGGATAAAAAATTAAAGGGAAGCATACAGTGTCCTAATACTGAGACTGGTTTGAAATGTCCTATTTTAATAAACCAGTGGGTTAGAGTTTTGGGAACATTACATTAGTATCTCATTATCTTAAGATGTAATTAATGCAAAGTTTACTTGTTTATCGGGCACTCCAAGGTTTAAGTTGAAAGTGTAATGTTTTG